GAGGAGGAGGGAGGGTGATGGAGGAGGAGGAGGAGGAGGAGGCGGTGAGCGCGACGCACGCTGCTGCTGGCCGCTTGTTGTAACGGAGGCAGGAAAGGACAATAGAAGACGACACATGGCAGCCGAGAGAAGTGGCACCGAGCGGAGGAATTGGGTCCCGTTAATACAAATACAAACATTAGGACACAAAAAACACCATCTGGGCTCTTCTGCTCACCCTGGAGAATCGCCTGCCGAGCCTATTAATAGTAGCTCCCGGTTCTGTCGACACAGTCCGCTCACAACTCCGTAACCCCGCGCGCCTCACACATCCAGCGCCTATACGGTTATTGATTAATTGCTTTACATAATCTGATCGGCTAAAATCCATTAAGCTGTTTAGGAGCATCGGCGGCTCCTTGGCAGTAGACAAATGAGGTTCAGCTGAGCTCCGAGAGGCTCCGCGCACGCACTCACCCGCTGTGCGTAAAAAGGCGCTTGAGCGTAAAAATGCTCCACGATTATAAATAGTAGCTGAACAGGCACCCCGGATTATCAGCGTTAATGCCAGGCCCCAACTTTTCCCTCTCCATCTCCTCCATATGTTCATTAGTTATAATCTCTCATAATTATTCAGCTCCGCGGCTCGCTGCTGCTCTTATTATCGACAGGCAGGCAGGATCCGTCTCACCGTCACCGCGGAGCTCCGAACTCCCCCCGAGGGTCTATTAAAGTTTTACCCGATCTGAACCAAGTCCAACCGGAGGGACATTAACATTTAAGAAAAGACGGTGCGATGCTGGCTGAAGCGGAGCACAAAGAGGGGAAAACCAGCGGCGTCACATCACACCTCCACAGAGAGAAGTGGGCTGCGTTATCAAAAAAGAAAGAAAAAGTTTCCCCTGAGACACAAACGCGCCCCGCAAACACGCTCCAAAAACGCTGAAGGAAAAGAGGAAGCAGCGGAAAGGCTCTCCGTTAAACGGAGGCTGAAGAAGCAATAGTCGACCTTCCTGAGTCGGTAAACAAACAGGGTCGAACGATGCAGTCAGACCGGTGCCGTTGAAAAAACGTAAAATAATAAAGCTGGCCGAAAGTTGACATCGGCGAGAATTACGCACCGCCCGCCGCGCTGCTCCATTCAAACGGAGCAACTTCACAGCACCGACCTCTCCGCTCCCGCTCTGCCCGTTAAATAGCCGGTTCACGGAGTCATTCAGCAGCCTGCAAAAGATGTGCGAGAAATGCGCGAATATCCGCGCGTCGATTCCACGCAGATACACAAAAAAAGCACCCAAAACCGAGCTGAGCGTGTGCTGGAGAGACGGGTGTCGGTTCGGAGTCGGGCTAGATGTGGACGAGCAGAACCGAGCCGCTTGTATAAACAAAGAACCCGCGCAGACTGTTACTCTCCGGACAATGAGACGCGGCGATGGAAACGATTTCCATGATGCGGAGCTGAGACCCCCCGCTTCATCCTGCTGCTGCTGCTGCTCAGAGTTTAAAGGAGCAAAAAGAAAAGACGCTTTTTACATCAAATCCTCTATTTCTGCGGTCCGGTAGGAAGTCCGTGTAGAATGAGCGCGAAGCCACAACGGAGAGGTTTTCCTTTTGTAAAACTAAATAAATAAATAAATAAATCTAGGTTACAGCCTGGAAAAGATTTATTCTGCTGACGGGCTTAGCGAGGAGCGGCCCCAGGGAAGGTGCGCGGTCGGCGGCTTACCTTAGCTGAGATATCCGAGCCGGAGTCCACTTGTGTGTCTGCCATTGTTTTAGTTCAATAAAATAAAGGACGGCTGAAATGAAAGGTGGAATAAAGTAAATCCCTCTGCTCGCTGCGCGGATCTCTTGGCGTTATATTGTGCCAGTGGCCGACGCTACTGACGGCTGAGCCTTTAATATATGCTTGTGGGCGGGGCCCGTGGCCGCTCGACGGCCGTTGATTGGCTTACGGCTCAACAGAGGTGTTCTCTTTCGCGCGCCGGACTGGAACAATGGATAGAATTTCTAAAACCAGAGGCCACGCCCCCCTCCGTACTGCCGTCGCAACCGTCCGTTTCTCCGGTGAAAAAACAACAACCCGACCCGGTTAAAGCCCGCAAAACGAACCGACACCGAACTGGCGACGCTTTGGCGGACAAAAAACCCAGTTTGCACCGAGCTTCGCGCCGAATTCAACGAATAGACAGCGCCGCTCCGCCGGTGTCACTTTGATTGATTGATGGGCTTCTGGTCGAGTGGAGCGGCGGCTCCGGAGCAGTTCTCCCGCCCACCGCCGCGGCCAGGGAGCACAGGGGAGGTGGAGGAGGGGGACACCGTCAAAATGTCCACCATTTTAGTGGATTAAGGCTTTTTATAAAACATCTCCAGCCACTAAATGAACTCTATCAATCAGATAAAAGAGTTAAAGCGGAGCCGCCATGGCAGCCGCTCGGCCCCGCCCCTTTCCGGCGTCCATGTTTCCTCTCATCTCTGTATGTGCGCACTTGACACTATGGAGTTTTTTTTTTTTTTTTTTTTTTTTTTTTTTTTACATAACCCATAAATTCCAAGGTCGACACACAAATAAACATATCCGTCGAACAGAGCGGGCAGGCAGCGGGTTGACACCGGGCTCTGGTGTGTTCGGGCCGGCTGAGTGAGCGGGTGCAGTGCGGTGGCCTCATTTCCTCCATTGTTGGAGCCCGCAGAGAAAAGCCCCGCCGAGGAGGAGGAGGGAGGACAAGCAGTGCGACATAACAGACATGCGATGAGACAAGTGCGTAAAAAGAACTGTAATGTGCTCATGAGCTGACGCGCATTCTTATGAAACACAAGGGCAAACACGTATTCTGTTCCTTACCCAGGTTAGTACTCGGGGCTTTTGTACATGAGAAGGACAAAGCGGCAAAACCGGCCGCCATTGCTCGGTGAAGATGGGGGATGGGAGCGGAGCGAACAAGCAGCCCACATCCACATTCTGCCCTAATGACGCACTCAGCTGCCGAGGACGCCTCCGATTGGCCGGTTAAGTGGAATAAACACGGCTTTTCCGCACGGCGGCTGTGGATTGGCTGCCACGGACATCCGTCAATTCAAATTGTGCTCTTTGTAAACAACGGCTCCGGATCCGGACGCGGACCGAGTTTCATTTCATGTTCCCGTTCACCGCCGAGCTAAAGCGCCTCTTCAATCTGAGAACCATGATCTCCGAGAACCACGTTCATTATGTTCACTATGGTCCATCAGGAACTGTTCTGTGAAACATTTAGCCCGCACATGGAGCCAGCGATCCTCCAACAGAACGGAATTGTGTGTCCGAGCTGCATCACTCTGACCGTGTTTTCAGAATATGATAAATCCACACCTGTAAATTCAACCATACACACGTAGAGTTAAGCACATCCATCTGTTTATATTTGCATCATCATGTTTCGTCCTATTCCCTAAACAACAGGCCAACTTTGATGTGTTCTTGTGCTTTTGATTCAAAACTCAAATGATTTTTATTTATATTGTGCCAATTCTTATGAGCTTTACACAAAATTACACAATAATTACAGAGAATGCAACAAATCCAATCAGTAGGGGAATATGATTCTGACTGATAGCCCTTTAACATCGCACACCTGAAAATCCAGTTTACAGAACTCAAGCTGCAAGGAAGATGTTCTCTCAAAGCATTTATCTGGTGTTTGTTCAAGATTAATCCATTGTTTAGGAAGTGCATTAAAGCTAGAGAAACCCCATCGGTTAGGGTGAGGGTAACAGAAACTATATGGATTCTACAATTAAGACGTATTAGAGTGTTTAACATACATGTCAGTACAGGCCTGCAAATATACACAAATAAAAACAACCAAACCAGCTCAGGGACAACTGCATCTCACAAGTCTGTTGTGTGGCAGAACTTTGACACAAATGTGCAATTCTTAGAAACCTGAAAGTTGTGTTTCTGTCTCAAAATATGTTTGGAGCACATGCCGTAATGAATTAATGTATTCATAATATGTGACATTCGTTCCATTGAAAACAAATGGAAAATGCAATGACTGTTAAGTTGACTCAATTAAACTCAGATTGGTGAAATCATATTTCAGTTTATTTTATGTAACTCTAGCATCTTCCATAACTTTGCTCTTTTTGTTTTATAGAGCCTTGTGTTTTTTAATATTGTGTGTGAATGCTTTTCATGTCATGCGCAAAGTTTACAACTAAACTCAACTTACCTTTTCTTTGATCAAATAGGCCTGGGCGATGAAATAATAATGGACACAATCAACAGTAAGAAGAAAATATGCTGATAGATTGTTTTAGATGTTTGATAATTTTACTTAAATGCATCAGATATCATGAAAACAAGATGACAGACTCTAAGGGTGCAGAAATATCTTATCATGACCATCCTGTGCAGGTCTCTCAAGGCCTGCCAGTCTGCCCCTCCAGGACTCCCGCTTCATGGTCTCAAAACACCCACCACCTCCACCTAAGGCCGGTGTTACACTTTACGCATCTGTGAGTCATAGCTCCATAGTTCTGCAAAACCTAAATTTAAACATCTAACTAATCTTGTAGCTAATCTGGGTCAATCTATGCAGACACAAACAAACGCTTACAACTTAAGACCATTTTACAAATTTATTCTCAGCAAAAAAAAGAAGAAAGTGCACGATTATTTAAAAGTTTCTTACCATCAACCAAATATTTTCTGCTGTAAAGATACAACGCAGTCAACCTAAAATGTTTTCCAATGAACAAACGAGATTCCAGTTAAAATCTTGCAATTTATTGTGGAAATGTTCTGGATATACGATGTCATCAATTTTGCACGTTGTGTACCTAAATTTGGCCAGTTGTAACACTACCAAAATGCCGTTATCATACTCCCCCACGGATGTGTAGCGGTTGTCATACTACTTTTTGAATACACAAGGAGGACTCTGATCCATACATATGTATCCACATTACTGCAGAACATTTGCACTACTCAGTCTGGTAACGTACTCAGACATCTGCTGAGATGATAAAATTTAGATCGCAAGGACCTTCATGCAGTTGTGGACATGGAAAGTGTAACGCTGACCATGGAGCACTTAACAACACACGTTTAACTAATAGCACTAAAATATTGCTTTACTCAACTTGCTGTCAGGATAACTGCCCATAAATAACTAATCTAAGTCACTCTACCTTTCCAAACTAATAGCCTGCTGCAGTAAATTAAATGCAATACGTAATTTTTCACCATTAATCGAAAGAAAAAAAACACTTTCATCTGCCACATTCCTGCATATACGACATCAAAGTTTTTTTATTTTTCTCAGTTGGGAGCAATTTTTTTGTTATTATTCTGACATCACTTGAAGACACTATGAAACTAAGTTTTTTTTGTTTTTTACATTTTTTTATTAAAACAAAAAACAAAAACAAAAACAAAAACCCAAAAGGTAGAAAATCTAATTTTGCTATGCAGTTTTTACACTTTTTGAGTTGATAAACCCAAAATGTTAACAGAACTAATGACCAAAAGAAAACTCTTGACTTCAGCACCTATCAGAGAGACAAAAATAGACAGAATCATCACATCTGCATGGAAACATGAGGTAAACTAATGAATTTGTCACTTAAAAAAATAAAAATAAAATTAAAATTAAAATAAAAAATCATGTTTACTTTAGGTTCCACTGCAGCTCTTTCAATGATCTTGTGCAGTTTTGTTTGTTTGTTGTTTTCAGGGGTTTTTTGCATTTACTCACGTTTCTTTGACTGACTTTCTCAAAATTTGGTTAAAATTTGCGCCACAAGAGGATGGAAAACAGACTATTAAAGCAATCATCATTAATGATGACTCTAAGAGTTTATTATTATTATTATTATTTGGGTTTCTAAAGAAGCACACAGTTTATAGAAAAATGAAGAATTACACTATCTCTGTGCAGCAAACTAAAAAACTACTGAATGGCTCCAGCAGTGATCTGCATTCAGGATAAAAGCCTGAACAGTATCAACACCACTGGTTCTGTTACCAGCTGACTTCATTCACTGACCACACAGCAAACAATTGATGCAGCAGATTCATCTTTTTAACTTTTAAAAATGTGTCTAAAACATGGTGGAAACACAAGAAAAATTCACTGAGCTCATTAAAGTTCACGTCATGGCTGCAGAACAGTGTGAACCTTGGATCCAGCTCAGGTTGCGGCCCGATGCCCAGTCCGAGGACACCAACCCATTTCTTGATATGATCACAGATCCGTCAGCCTTGTATAAGCCGGTGCCAGCCGCCAAGGTTGGATTTACCATCCAGCAGAGCAGTCAGCTGTCTGGGGGCCCCAGACCCAGAGAGGCCCCTCCAGTGCCGGGTTCACTGCGTGTCAATTGGTTGTACATAATTTGATTAACTGCAGATTTGTTTAGGAATTTGCACTATTGAAGTACAATATCAGCTAAGACAGGTACTTAATCTCGTGGCCCTGTCCTGCAGAGGGGCCCGATGTCAAAGAACAGTTTTAACACTGGAGTTATTTTAGTCATAATTGGGGCCAAACAACCAATTTCTGCTCTGGGGCCTTTTTAACTGGTTGATCTGACCACGCTGGGTGACGTTTGTTCCTCTGCACAGCAGAGGACATTCAGCCAGCTCTCTGCTGGTCATTTATCTGATTATTAGCAGCCAAAATAGCCATCTGCTAACTCTGGAATGTAAAATTTGACATTAGTATATATGCAGCATGTCAGGACAAACTTAAATGAATCATGTGCAGAGTTATTCACTGAGAACTGCCTGCACACACTGCAGACTACCTTCACAAGGGAATAACAGATAATAATAATATATATAAAAATAACACATCGAGACATAAACCGATCACGGGTGCAAATCCTGCAAAACAATGAAAAGTAAACCAGCAGACAGATATAATAACACAAGCATCTCAGGGACAACAGCATCTGTGGGATTCTGGGCTATAAATTAAAAACAACAACAACAACAACAACAACAAAAACAAAAACCCCACAAATAGAACAATGTAAAAATCGTGTTTTTATCTCTAAATATGTTGAGACAGGAGCCTTAATGCCTTGATTTATCTGTGAGATGTGATATTTGACCCATTGAAAATAAATGGAAAATACAATAAAGGTCAGTTGGTTCACTAAAACTGAGATTAAATCATATTTCAGTTTATTTCTAAATTTGCTCTTTCTGATTTATTTTATCTTTTCTGTGTGTGTGTGTGTGTGTGTGTGTGTGTGTGTGTGTGTGTGTTGTTGTTGTTGTTGTTGTTGTTGTTGTTGTTTTAAAAAATATCTTGTGTTAATGCTTTTTATGCTGTGCAAAGTTTACAATTTAACGCTCTGAACCTCAAACAGGTTCTGGGAGTGTTTTACTTCTCGTCTTATTTTTCTTCACTGTGGCTCATTTCTTAGTGCACTGTGAAATCCTCAATGAGAACAGGACAACCATGAAAACATAGAGAGAACTAAGAAATGTCTTTAGTGCAGTCATAATGCCATAAATCATAGAAAAGTAGTTTTAAAAAAAATATTATTATTTATTTTACAAAAATTCCAAAAACCTGGGATCAATATGTCAACATTTGTCCAGATGTTATCAACACTAGAAAAAACAGGCACTCAATTGTTCACATTTTTACAACTTCTATATAGTTTTTCTCTCTACTCTGCTCATCAGCTGTAAAAAGATGTCTCACCATGCTGAATGTATCTTCAACAACTTTCTTCTCTGTTCACTGGTTTTGAGCCATGCTGCATTTATTTTGTTGATCCGGTAGGTTTTCACTCCATCATTTTTATTAAAAATTTTTAACAGGTTTTTGTGCAGTTTAACAGTTTTATTTTGGTTCGTTTCTACACTAGACAGGGATACAGTGATTTTGATGAAATATCACAATTTTGTGTTTAGCTTTGATGTACAGACGAAACTGTAAGATGTACATGGTACATCAAATAACTGTTGGAAAATATAAAATGTGATGTTTTTTTCTGTTTTTACAGTCCCTGCCTCTGACAAATAAGGTAATTTTGGTCATTTTTCTTTTAGAGATAACACACCTTTTAATCCATCTGCACACAAGTGTAGAAGCTGCCAAGAACTTACATAAATTATGTTTTCCAGTGGTGATTCAAATAAATTTTTGCGCAGCAGCTAAAACTCATCATGTCGTTGTTTGCACTTTTAGTATGTTCTTTTTGAAACCATGATTTAACCATCACTGCTCGGAGTAAACATCTTGTTTAAAACCAAAGTCAGTCTCCAAAGTTTTCATCTTGTGAGTTTCATCATGTTTGCTGCTTTAAAACAGACAGCCGCATGCAAACATTAAACCACCTCAGCTCAGTTCCAAACTCATCAATGAAGAGAGTTCAAACTGGACTTTAAATCTTCGCAGTGTCATAGCCGACAATAATCCAGGTTTCACATTAATCCAGCTCACCCTGCAGGGAAAAAGGTTGGCCTGTGTGAGTTCCTCAAACATAAGAAGCTAAATGGATTTCTGTTTTTTCCGGCTCCGTCCTGCAGGCCGACTTTCAGCCGAAGCGGAGAGAGATAAAGAGGTTTTCTGGCGATGGTGCATCAGTCGTGCAGTTGACATGTTGGAACCTGCAGTAGTGACGCAGCAAAGTGGACACTTCCAGCAGCACAATAAACAAGTTCACATCAGCTCCATTTACTGCTAATTCTAAAGAAATGCAGCCAGTTTCAGATACAGTCTCATAAATCTTATGATTAACATTTAAAATGCAACTTCAAAGATTTGGCTGCTCATTGAAACCTGAGCTATGTGCAAACAAACTTAATGTGAGTGTAAAAATGACTGACTTAGTTAGTAAATTAAGTAAACTGAGGGCAGGGATTAGTAGTTCTGGTTTCACACATGATCAAAGTGAATTATTGTGGCTAAACAGACACTTAAATAAACATCTATTGTATGGTGTCTGCTAAATGTGAAATATCATTCAAATCTGTGTTTTAATCCAATGATATTTATGTGTCCGGAAGATGATCCTGGTATCAAATGTAGGTAAAAATGAAACTTTTCGCCGTCTCCAACTTGTTCTGGCCAGTCAT